GGGGAGAAGCAAGAGCAGATGGCAGGCTGGGGCCGGCTTCTTGACCACACCCTGTCCCTCCTGCCCAGGCTGTCACCCAAGCCCAGCGGCCATCAGCAGCTAAGCTTTCTCCCTCAGGCCCAGGGCTTGTGCCCCACCGCCTCGCACCCTCCTTTCCTTCAGCCAGGACCCAGCCTCTGTCCCTCCCTCCCCCCACCCCTATTTCCTCTGCAATTCTCCCTCCAGCCAGTATTGAAGGTGAGGACGCCAGGTGTGTATCCCAGTGCCAAGGAGAAGGGCTAGGGCACCCGGGCCCCACCTTCTCATTAGGATAGGAGAGCTCTCGCCTGCCTGACAGCACCCAGGAAGTTCCCCCCCCTGGAGAGAGGAAGAGGGGGCTGCAGAGGAAGAAAGGGGGACTGGGGGTACCAGAGTCAGCACCCTGAGTTGGGCAGAGAGCCCCTGGGCCCCTTTCTGAAGCAGGCACCTCCCTAAGGTTCCCCTGCTGAGCTTTAGTTTTCAAATTAGAAAAGCAGTTAAAAGAATTAGGAGAGAATGCTGCTCCTTCCAATTCCTTGAAAGAGCCAGAGTGTGGAGGGAAGGAAGTGCAGGACGGTGAGGGCCTAGATCTGGGAGGCCAGTCTGTCCTCTGCCCGAACCCAGGTCCCCTCCCCATCCCTCACTTTGTCCCTGCACCTGATCACTCCATCCTCACACCTTTCGCCCTGGCCCTGCCCCTGCACCCACACCTCTGGGACTGGCCAGGGGCATGCAGAAGGGAATGGCAGGCTGAGGACCAGCGCCCCCTGCCCCAGTGGAGGTAACTGGGGGGAGATTTGGCTCCAGGCCGTGGGGGCCCGCCCACCTCCCTGCAGTCAGAGTGACCACTGTAATGACAAGCGAACGAACGCCTGGGTGGTTACTCCACCCTCAAAGGTCAGGGGAGGGTAGGAAAGCTCTGTCTGGCTGACGGCTTTCACACCGCCCTAGGAGTGCCTGCTCTGCTGTCTGGGGTCACCTGGGTGCTTTTCCATGGGGACATGCCTGGGTAGCTGGCTTATGGGTGTAGCTCTGCTGCTTCCTGGCAGTGTGACCTGGGCAAGGCCCTGCCCCTCTTCTGGGTAGTGGTAGCTCGTCCTGGCCCTCAGGGTGGCAGGGAGGACCGTGTTCGGGCTGTGTGTTAGAGCTCACCTCTTCCCCAGGCCACCAACAGGGGTCCCTTGGCACGCTCGTCCAGGCAGAGCTGGCTCCAGCTCAAAGGCTGGTTTTGAGTTGCCAAGGTGAGTGGCCAGCCCAGGGGGAAGGCCGACTTCGACACCCCGTGGCCCTTCAGATAGATCACTTCTTCCTGCCCCTGGAGCTGGCGGCACTCACCTCCGGTCTCAGGAAGTGCTTTCCTGCTGTTGCTCTGAGAGTCAGCCATCCGCTGACCCCCCTTCAGCCACCCTTCGGTGCCGCTGGGAAGACGAAGCTTGAGGAGGGGAAAGGGCTGCCTGCATCACTGTGCAGGCCATCGGGGCCGCTCTCTTCGCTTCCCGTTGTCAGACCGTGGTCTGTTCGGCTTCGGTCTTTGAGCGAGGCCCTCCTGTAGCTGCTAACATTCCACTGAGAGGCTGTGGCTGCCTTACCTGTCCCCTATAGTTGGCCATTTAGGTGATGCCCCATCCTTCGTTTACAATTATAAATGCTGCAACAGACATTGTTGAGCAAAGCAAGAATTGTTCATAGTGCAGCGGGTCTGACCTGAAGAAGACGACCCCGAAGGCCCAGAGAATGGGAGTTGGGTCCCAAGGTCTCTTCCCACTTAGGGTCTGGGATCAGCAGCCACTCTCACCCCTCACCATGGACACTTTAATGGGCAGATGACAACCAGTGTCCCCATGTGTGCTGGGCCCGCCACGGTCCCTGTACAGGTAGCTCTACTCCAGGCCCCAACGGGAGGGATTGGTCACACACACACACACACACACACACACACACACACACGGCCTGTGAGCTGCTCCTGGGGTGGCTGACAACCGTCTGGGACAGTGCTGGTGCCAGGGCCGCGCTCCTGCATCTTCCTGCACTGACACCTCCCCACGCTCCTCCTCCTCAGAGTGGCCGCGCTCCTTCCTGTTGAACCTCAGTGTGTGTGTGTGGGGGTAGTATTGGGCCCTAATACTCAGCTGCCTGAGTGCCCCTGCCTTTGATTCCTTTCCTGCCCTGTCCTGCAGTGCCACAAGGCAGTCAGCGTGACTGTTGTTTGGCAGCCCCACCTCCCCTCCCCTGGTTGCCAGCTGTCCCCTCTGTGGCTGGAAGTCTGGGAGGGGGCCGAGGGGCTGTAAACTGGGTCTTCACCTCTTCATCCGGAAAATGGGGCCAGTCGTGAAGCCTGTTTTGCAGAATTGCTGTGGGCATGATAGTAGAGCCTCAGCTCTGGGCCCCACGGAGGCTGTCCTGGCTCCCTGTACATGACACACCCCAACCATAGCCTGCCCAGTGGGTCCTGTCCTCCCTGTCCCTCCCGCACAGGCCTGGGAAGGGGCATTCCTCTTCCCCTCCTCCTCGTACAGTCGGGCACAGATCCTAGGGCCTTGATTCCAAAGCGGAAATGCCATTCTGGAAGGCAGAGGCTGGGGGGAGGGAGTTTAAGTGGAAAAGGAGCAAATTTTTGAAATGCCTGCGCCTGAGCTGGGTTCCCTTCCCCCCTCTGCTCCCCCTCCCCCCCAGCAGCCCCGCCCCCAGAGCTGCTTTAACCCAGCCCCAGAGACTCGGGGTCTCCTTTTCCTGTTCCCTTGTTCCCAGCCAGCCACCCTCCCCCTAAGCCAGCTAGGCAGAGGTGAGGGCCAGGACTTCGGGGTCCCAGCCTGTCCCTGCAGAGACCTGCCTGCCTGCCTGCAGGACAGGCTGGCTGTGAGGCCTGCTCCCCACCTCTCACCCCGCAGGAGTGGGGGCCTGGGGAAAACCTAAGGACGCCCTCCAGACAAATGTTCACGCATGACCCGGTTGGCTTTGATCCGCTCCTTTGGGACCTGGGAATGGGTCAGGGTTTGGGGGGTGGGGGGGAGGGCGCACAGCTGTGGGGAATACACAGGAGGGAATGCCCTAGGCCGGTGGTCGCCAACCTTTTGGACCTCAGGGACCACCAGCGGGCAGTGGACCACCGGTCGGCGCCTGCTGCCCTAGGCAGTGTTTCTCTGAGAGCTGGCTCTTCTGTGGGGAAGTGGGCTGTTTTGAGGGTGATGAGGGGGCCAGTCTTGGGGAGGGCATAGGGTGGTACCCGTTTTTGCTCCTGGAGGATTCTGAGTCCCATTGTGTCCAAATCCCTCTGTTCCTTACCCATCCCTTATGCTGTGAGTTCCTGTTGGTGGTTCCCCAAGAAGCTTTGAGGAAATGCAGATGCTCAGGTCCCCCCACATGTTTTTTTCTGGAGGAGTGGCCTGGGAATGTGTTTTTAAACAAGCTTCCCAGGGGACCCATGACCAGCCAAACTTGGGCTGCCTTAGTTCAGCCTCTTCGTGTTACATCTAGGAGAGGGCCTGCCCATGGTGGTACACCTGTCCTGGGTGTCAGATGTGTGTGTCAGGTGGAGGGATAGCTGTGGATACATATTGGCATATATATATTAGGCCATGCCTTAGGGTTCTCTGCGGGGCAAAGCCGAGTCTGCCCCACTGCTTCCCTGGCACTGCGAGCTGCCTGATGGTGTCTGCATCCTTAGTAAGTGGCCCAGGATGGTGACTGTGTGCGGATCCAGAGAAAAGACACCAAACTGATGGTTTCTGGAGTAGGCCCATCCTCGACCTCCCAGTAGGCCACGGTGCAAGCCCGGACCAGGCTCAGGGACTGGCACACCCTGGTTCTGTGTGAAGTGACGTCACTGAGCTGCACTAGGGAGTGGGGGCTCGGGAGAACCAAGACACTTTCCACTCAGTAGTTTCCCCCCTCCCACTCAGTGGCCCTTCCTTCTCTCTCATTACCTGCAGACCCCGACCATGTTGCTGAGACGGATGAGCTGTTGGCGTAGCGTGTTAGGGCTGACAAAGGGATTGGGATGAGGTCAGACTCCTAGGGCGGGCCTGAGCCCGTGGGGGAGGGAGAGCAGGCTTCAGGGAGGCTGGATTCAATTAAGTGGGGAAGCCGAGAGAGGTGAGCCCTTGTCCATGGACGGGGCTGGAGTCTCGAGCGGTGCGGTAGAACAGGAGGGCTCAGGCTCTGTCTCCCCTCGGTTACCAACCTCCCTGCCTCATTCCTTGGGCTCTTACGTGGAAGGCCTGACCTGAGTCCCTGCCATGGTGGTTATTAGCTTCTGCCAGCTGGGTCGACGCTCTCCCCTTTACCTCCAGATTCAGACATGGGGGCATGAAGGACACTGTAAAATTCCCCGGGGTTGGTAGGAGGGGAAGGCATAAGTCAGCTTCAGGCTGGAGCCTCTAGAGCTGCAGAGGTACAAGGAGGAGGAAGAGGAGGAAGAGGACAGTCCGTAGTCTGCCCAGAAGAGGAGGCGTTGCCTTTGAGGTTTAGGCCTTTGAGGAGGGGCGCATTCTCTCCAAACGTATAGGTTGGAGCCGAAACTGGTTTGGCTCAGTGGATAGAGGGTCGGCCTGCAGACTGAAGGGTCCGGGTTTGATTCCAGTCAAGGGCATGTACCTTGGTTGCGGGCACATCCCCAGTAGGGGGGTAGCTGATCGATGATTCTCTCTCATCAATATCTCTTTCTATCCCTCTCTCTTCCTCTCTATTAAAAATCAACTATATATATGTATATATATATATATAATATATACACACACACACATATATATAAGGTATAGGTTGGAGATGGAGAAAAGGAAATATCACTGGTGTAGGTGAACTAGGCTTAAAGCCTGGCATTTGGCCGGCAGCACTTAGCCCTTAGCTCCATGCTGGTAGGGCGTGGGGGTTGGTCCACTGGGCGGCGCGTGCCCGCGCACTCCCCTCGTGCCCGCGCACTCCCCTCGTGCCCGCGCCCCATGGGCAGGCCGCTCATTTGCATGGGGAGCCGCAGCGGCCAATGGCGCGCACGGCCGGGCATGCCGGGAGCCGGGCTGGGCTGGCCGCCGCGGGCGGAGCGAGGCGGACCCGTTCGGGTGGCGGCAGCGGCAGGAGGCGGGCGGCTGGCGTGGTGGCCGGGACAGCGGCTCCTGGACCCCGGCGCCGGCGGCACGGTCGGGGCGGGCGGGCAGCTCGGCATGCGCCCCTGCGCGGAGCTGGGGCCGCAGCCCGTCCAGAGGGACACGATGAACTACCTGGTGAGTGTGGCGGCCGGCGGGGAGGGGTCCGCATGCCCTGTCTGTCTGTCTGGAGTCCGTACCCCCTCGGAGGAGACGGCCGGGTCGCGGGCAGGCCCCGATGGGAGAGTTAGTGAGCGGCATTTCCTGCCGGCTCTGCGGGTCCTGGGAACCGCCGGCACCGGGAGCTTAGCGGGGGCGTAACCAGGCGGGGTCCCAAGTCCTGGACCCTCCTCGCACCCGGGCCCCAGCGCCTGGAGACGTGAATGGGGACCCCAGAGCCTGCGCGCTCCGCTCCGGGCGCTGGAAGGAGCCCCGGCCTGGACTCGGGCTGCCGACCGGCAGGAAAGTTCCTGGATCCGGGAAAGTTGCTGGCGGGAGGCCCGCTCCCTTCCCCCCCCCCCCATCCCCGCCGGCCACCGCCTTCTGGTGACCTTGGGCCTTGGACCATGGCTGCAGTTTCCGCGCTATGAGGCAGCGGCCGAGGTCCCTCAGACCGGGATCGTCCAGTAGGCTTGACGAGGAGATGGTGGAGGTCCGTCCGTCAATAGTCCGTCTGTGTGTTTGGAGTGTCCCTCCCCCAAGTTAGGGGTCGAGGTTTGGGCTGGCCAGTGCGCGGGGTCTGGGAGATGGGGGTGCCAGGAGCGCCAGGCTGGGGCCGGTTAATGATTCACCGCCGCCCGCCCCGCGCCGGATTCCGGGACGGGACAGGCGCTTCCTGGCCTTCACCTACCCTGATCGCAAACAACAACACTGATAGCAGCCGGATCCCAGCGGTGGGACCCAGGGCTGCACTGCCACCCGGGGTCCCGCCTCCGTGGTCGAGGGCACTCCGGTGGGCGCGGACTGCTTTTTGAGTGGCCCTAGCCCGGGCGTGCGGCCTCTCCTGGCAGGCTGAGGGAGTCGGTCGGTCGGAGAAACGGATTTGCTGAGGGCCGGAGATGGGCCGGGAGAGTGGGCGGATTAGCTAGGGGAGCTGTTGGGATCCCGGATCCCAGAGTGGAGGTTGGGGCTTCATCCGCCCTGAGAACAGGGATTTCGCTTCCCACACCCCCACCATGAGGAAGGGTCCGGGCTGCATGCAGGCCTCAGCCAGGTGGGGAGAGGTTTCTCATCGCCGGGGCTGGGGGCATGCCCTCAGTGCCCGTTTCCTTTCCCAGGCGGAGAACTGGTGTTGGGGTCAGGGAGACAGGGCTGGCAGACCTCGAAGAGCAGGTGTGTGTGTGCTGGAGGAGCAGGAGTGGGTTGGGTACAGGTGGGAGGGAGGCAACCAATTGATGTGAGAGAGACACATGGATGTGTCCCTCTCCCTCTCCCTCCCTGAGTCATTTTCTCTCTCTCCCTCACTTCTACTCTCTCTAAAAATCAATGGGACTGTGAACCAGGAGGTCACTGTTCGATTCCTGGTCTGGCCGCATGCCGGAGTTGTGGGCTTAATCCTAGTGGGGGCATACAGGAACAGCTGATCAGTGAGTCTCTCTCATCATTGATGTTTCTATCTCCCCTCCTTTCCTCTCAAATCAACAAAATAAAAGTATATATAAATCAAATCAAGTAAAAATCAATGGAAAAATATCCTTGGGTGAGGATTAAAAATAAAAAAAAAAGAAACCAAAAAGAAAACACTGGTCCCAGGAAGGGGCCACAGAGGCACAGCCCTGGGCCAGGGGACCCCACCAAGTTGGCGGCCCCAGCAGAGCATGGCAACACTCCAAAGACCACGTGGGAATTGAACCTGCAACCCAGGTATATGCTCTTTAATGTATTTTTATTGATTTTCTTACAGAGAGGAAGGTAGAAAGATAGAGAGCTAGAAACGTTGATGAGAGAGAAATATCGACCAACTGCCTCTTGCACACCCCCCACCGGGGATGTGCCCGCAACCAATGTACATGCCCTTGACCGGAATCAAACCCGGGACCTTTCAGTCCACAGACCGACGCTCTACCACTGAGCCAAACCGGTTTCGGCCAGGTATATGCTCTTGACCTGGAATTAAACCTGTGACCCTTCAGTGTGTGGGCCAACACTCTAACCACTGAGCAACATGGACCAAGGCCCAGTGCTTTTAGGAGGTTCCACACCCTTTTCTCCCATCCCTGCCCGCTAGGAGCCCACAGCCAGGACCGGCCAGGGGTGTACCCAGGAGGCTTCTCGGAGGGTGAGGGACAGTGTGAGTCAGGCTTGGAGGGTGGGTGGAAGGTAGGGATCTAGCCCTCAGTAGGGGGCTGCCTACCCTAACTCCTCCCCTCTAGCGAGGAGCAGGTGAAGTAAGGGCCTGCCGTGAAAGCACAGAGGATGGAGGGGCAGGCTCCACCTCCCATCCCATCTCCTCTGTGTGTCCTAGACAGGGGACATCGATCCTGTTTCTAAGTAGACTGCCACACTTTTGGGGCCATCGTGTCCCCCTCCATTCAGCTCAGGCAGAGGTGCTGCTTGGAGGGCTGCTGAGAGTTCTCCTTTAGAACTGGAGTGGGCAGAGCTCTCCGGGGTTTTATGTTTTTATTTACATATATGTATATATATATACATCTGTTTCAGAGAGGAAGGGAGAGGGAGAGACAGAGATAGGAACATCAGTGATGACTGGGAGTCATTGCTTAGCTGTCTCCTGCACGCCCCCTACTGGGGATCAAGCCTCAACTCGGGCATGCCCTTGACTGGAATCAAACACCGACCCTTCAGTGTGTGCAGGAAACCGGCTAGGGATCTCCGGGGTCTAGATGTCAAGGTGGGGAATCCAGGGCTTTGTGAGGGCTGAAATCCCTGCTGTCCCCTCCAGGCTGTCCCTCTGCCTCCGCCTTCTGTGATGACAAATCTGGGGCTGGGAGTAGTTACCCCTACTCTGGGGCTGTCCTCGAAATAAAGGTGAGCCTCATGCTGAGCCCTCTGCAGAGAGACCTGCGATTCCTCCACCAGGCCCCAGTGACCGGGAGAGAGAGCAGCGGCTGCCAAGTGTATAGGTCTAGGGCACATGTGTCAAACACAAGGCCCGCGGGCCAAATCCGTCCCGCCAGGCCTTGCAATGTGGCCCGCACCGCGCTGTCATCACTGCACTCTGCTGCGTTTCCATCACAATGACAGTTTATGACTGTTCAGTAAACCATTCGGCCCGCGATTTAGGCTGGATTTTAGATTTTGGCCCCTTCTCTGATTGAGTTCGACACCCCTAGTCTAGGGTCTGCCAGCCTGGGCTGAGTCTCTGGGAGAGGTGGCACTGGTGAGGATTCTTTTTTCTTTTCTTTTTTTCTTTTTTTAATATGTTTCTATTAATTTCAGAGAGGCAGAGAGAAATAGAAACACCAATGATGAGAGAGAATCATTGATTGGCTGCCTCCTGCAGGCCCCCCCACTGGGAATCAAGCCCAAAACCCAGGCATGTGCCCTGACCGGGAATGGAACCATGACCTCCTGGTTCACAGGTCAGCACTCTACCATTGAGCCATGCCAGCTGGACAGTAGTGAGGATTCTAAGGGGACTGGGACCATTCCCAAGCTGCCAGCAGTTGGAATGGGCTGGAGGGTGAGGGCTGGCTGTGCCCTTATCCCACCTCACAGGCTTCTTGGTGCTGTGGCCTCAGTCCTGCCTGTTCCCACCATCCCTGGTATGTTGGGGGCTGCAGGGGCCATGCCCTGCAGCAAGGAGGGCCCTCCCCTTTTCACCTCTCCTCTGCCCAGCCTCCTGGAGATGGTACCTAGAACACCCTAGCAAGGGTGAGGGGGGGGGCCTGCTTCCGGCCAGAGCTGGCCCTAGACACAAAGGCATCTGCTATTGCCACTGCAGCCGAGACCAGGCGGGGCTTGTTACTGGGAGCTGCTGACAGTGGGTTTTTATCCTTCATTCTGCATGAATGTCCTCTGGCTGCCGAGTGTTAGCATGGAGCTGAGCTACAGGCTCCCGAGGTAGGCAGGGCAGGAACCACGCTCCCCTTGGGATGGCTCACCCATGTGTGTTCCCTGCTGGCAGAGCACTGAGGACCTGGGAGTATTAGGGGAGTGATGCTAAGGTGCTGGTCCCAGAGTTCCACCGAGGATGTGAGCGTGGGGGGGTGTGGGAAGGGCAGAGGCCCTGCTCTCAGAGCTCGGTTGCAGCCTGGGAGCACAGGGGCAGGACAAAGGGATGGTCAGGCACTGGCCAGTGGGCAGACTGCAGTCAGTGCACGCACTGGGCCTGTGTCCATTGGCCACGGAGACTCTGTGAGACAAGCAAACAGAGTATCCCAGAAATAAACTTGGCTCACGCAGAGATGGTTCTGGGTATGAAGGGAACTAGTGTTTCCCAAGTGACTGTTGTGTGTGAGGCTCTGCACCGGGGGCTGGAGAGAGAGTGTGTCCGTGTGTTTGGGAGGTGGGGGACGGAGGGAGCAAAAGGCCTGTGACATGTCCGCTCCTGGCTTCCAGGAGCCTAAGCGTTACCCTAGGAACCACCAGCTCCACATTGTCACATGGCCCAGATCCGCTTCCGTAGCTCCCTGACTGTGAGCCGGGCAAGCCGAGCAACTGTTCTGTCTTCCGTTCCCTCTGTCCATAAGGTAGGGGTGATTAATTATAGCATCTCACAGGGTTAAAAGAGATGATTGACGTGTGCAAAAAGAGCCCTGCCTCTGACAGTCAGCACCGGCCATCGTTGCTGTAGTCACTGGGAGCCCATCAATCGTGTCTCTCCACTCCTCCCAGCCACCAGGTGTGGGGGGTGGGGATACCCAGAGCACAGCTGAGGTCCTTGAGGCAGCGGGTGGAGTGTGGGGGAGACGTGAATACGTTCTTGCAGATGTCTGACTACCAGCGTCCAAGGCCCAGCTGAGGACCAACCCAGCCTGGCTGGGCTCTCCTCTGCTTCCTCCCTCTGGGGTAAGCGAGCTCCAGAGGGCATTCCCGGCTTCCTCAGGGGGAGCCACCCTGCTCCCAGGAGGGGCCAGACACACAGGCCAGGAGGGTTTCTGCAGGGGCCCACCCTCCTGGGCCAGGCTAGTGCTTTTGCCGGGGAGGGAGTCCACGCTGAGGGTGCCCAGGTCGGGGGGCATGAATGGGCAATAACAAGATGTATTAGTACTTCCAGGTGGGGCAGCAGTGAGCGGGTGCCCGACGAGAGGCACAGGGTCCTTCCTGAAGGGAGGGCACCAGGTCATGTCCTGGAGGAGGAGGGAGGACACGGAGAGGTTTCCTAGAGGCGGGAGTGTGGTGGCCAGAGACGCAGGGCAGGGCGGACACAGACGGCCGGCAGTGCCTGCCAGGACTGGGATAGTGCTCTGGCGGGATGCCCCTCCAAGAGATGGCAGCGGTGCCCTCTTGTGAGCTTGGGGGTGAAGCACCTGGTCGTCCCAGAATCAGGGGAGGCTGGAAAGCTAGGCTCTGCGGGAGCGGCTCCTTTTAGAACAAGCTGGGCAAGACGCTGGGCCCTGAGGACGCTGGTTCCTGAGCTCTCCATGCACCCTCCCAGCTCATCCTGCAGTGTGACTGGCCCTGGCCTGCCTGCCGCTCCAGGGCCACAACCCCATCCCCTCTGGTCTCCCCCCACTCCAGTGCCTTGGCTCATGCTCTTCCCCGGCTGGCGTCACGGTTGCCTCGTTTTCATTTCTTCATGATCATCTGAAGTGTCACCTCCTTGGGTTACCCCCTGTCCTAGCGAGTTTTTTGGTGTCAAGTCTGCCCCACTGGAATGTAGGGCCCATGTGGCTAGGGACCTGGTCGAGCTAGGGCTGCTAGGCCTGTGTTGCCCCGAACAGGGACCTGAGTGCTCAGAGAGGCTGAGGGCCTTGCCTGAGGTCACCCAGGTCTGGTCTGAGTGCTGCTGAGTGACAGGAGAAAGGAGGAGCCTGTGTCAGGGGCTGCTGGGAGGTCCAGAAACGCAAAGGGGCGAGCCGTTGGCCAGCTGGAGTGCTCCGGCGCCAGCAGTGCCCAGGCTGCAGAAGGCTGCCTCCGGGGCTCTGGGCAGAGGCACCAGCTGACGCAGGCAAGGAGCTCCTGGTGCCAGGCGCCCAGTGCCACGTGCCCAGCCCAAGAGGTGCTTCCCAGCCTGGCTCCAGCCGCCCCAGCTGTACAGTTACAGCCACAGTTAAGTACCTCACTCTGAGGGCTGGGGGCTGGCCACCCTTGCCCAGGAGGTCCCAGGAGCTTCTTGGGCCCTGGTGGACTGTCTCCTGTGTCCCTTCCCCTCCCCCACTGGACCTTGCCCTGAGCAGAGCCCTTCAGCCTCCCTGAGTGCCCAGCCCTGTCTGGGGACCTGGTGGAGGCCCATCTGCCAGCCTTCCCTGGAGGTGAGGGGCCTCCCAGGGGCAGTCCCCTCTGTCTGTACCCGCCTCCTCTGACTGGGCCAGAGGGGAATTTTCCTGTGACTCACTCTGCTGGCACTTCCTGTGGTCACCAGGGCAGGGGCTGGGGGGATCCAGTGGGATGGCTCCGTATTCTGGGGTCACTGGGGGAGGGGACCGTGTGTGAGTGTGTGTGTGTGTGTCCCGCCCTCTGAAGGGATGTGATTCCCTGAGGCAGGCTGCAGACCATATTTGGGAAACTTACTTTTCGTAAAGGCAGCTGGCGATGGGGCCCGGAGCCCCAGTGGGCTGCAGGGCAGCCCTCACCCCCGCCTCCTCCTCCCTGGGCTCTGGCCTCCGGGCCTGCTTCAGCCTCCTCTGCCCTCTCCGGCTTTGGAGCCTAGGAGGGAGCCCACTGTTTTCTTTTTCAGGACGTGTGTTGTTTTAACCCCAAAGCCAAGAAATGCTCATTAAATACAAATTGAAAAATTCTGAAAATCAGGAAGAGAAAACGTCTCCCAGTCATCTCCAATATTAGCATTGTTATTCTTCCCTCTCCCTGTTATTTAAGTTGGAGTGACGGTTTATGGAGGCATAACTTACACTTCCGTGCAATGTGTAACGGTGGTGATCTGTGTGGACCTTGCAGCCGTCAGCAGTTCCAGGGGCCTCTGCCCTGGTGCTCCTCTGGGTGCTGGCTGGCTCCTCCGGCTCTGCCCGCCCTGAGCTCTGGGCTGCCTTCCTCCCCTGGGTCTGCCACTCTTGGCTCCCAGTTTTCCCGCCGCTGGCCTGGGAACCGATGAGCTGCTCGAAGGAAGTGGGCTCCGGAGTCTGAGCATGCAGTCCTGGGGCCTGGAGCCCAGGCCAGCCCTGTGGGCCCCTGGCTGACACTCAGGACGCTCCCCTAATCCTGGGTGGCAGAGTGCAGACAGGGCTCACAGGGGCCCTTGCTGACCCCAGATGCAGGTATGGAGTGAGGAGAGGGGCTTGGCTGAGCCCTCACCCTCACTGCCCTCTGCTCCAGGGCCCAGGCTCCCACTTCCTGTTCCTGCCCACGGGGGTGTGGCTCTTCCTTCTGCCTGGAATTCTGCTCCTGCTTGACTCCTTGCAGATGGAGTCCTGGGGAGGAGACGGGGCCCAGGTGGGGAAGGTCACACAGCTAATGGGTGGCCAGACCCAGGATTCATTCCTTAGTCAAGGGTCTGGACCAGGCTACGTGTCCTCAGGCCCAGGAGACTCAGAGAAGGGCAGCCAGAGCTGAGGCCTCACAGGTGGAGCTGGAGCCCCGCTGGCCTGGTGCTGCCCTGTCCTCAGACCTGGCTTCCCCCTGTGCGAGGCCGGGCCTCTGCGGCACCCTGCCCAGCTCTCTGCTGCCCTCGAAGGCCAAGGCAACCCTGGCCCTCCCTCCCCCCAGGTGCCTCCTTAGCTCCTTGAAAATGACCTTGGCCCTCCAGCGGGGGGTGGGGGTGGGACCTTCTGTGATATCTCTGGGCCCAGCCTGAGCCTGGCACCTGTGCAAGGGAGTAGCGGCACCAGGGGCCAAGAGCTAAAAACCCGGGGACTCCTGACCCCAGATTTTCTGCCCCTCGTCAGGTTCTGGGTCTGCCACTCAGTGTCACTAGTGGGATGGTCCGCCTGCCTCTGACCCTACCGCCTTCCCCCAGGGCCTCTCCCTGGAGCGCATGTCCTGCTCTGGGAGAGTTTCTGACTAGCGGAACCCGGAGCAGTGTTGGGAGGCTGTGCAAGTTAACTGGAGAATCACAGCAGCAAAGAGGAGGGTTGGAGAGTGCTGTCATTCCTTGTTTTGCTTTATTTTTCTCCTTTATTCCTGATGTCTATCTCATTCCTGTCCCTCTTCCAGAAGCACCCATGCTAACGTAATGTGTCTGGAATCTCCCTGGATAAGAATCTGTGAAAAATACATGAGGTTGTTTTGTAGATGTTTATGTAACATTTACAGTAAAAGGCTCCACTCTTACCTCAGGAGGGTGTGGCCGACAGGCCTCACCAGACACCTGGGCACCTGCTGGCACACAGCAGAGCTGCAGATGTGTGCCGATTTGCTGGCTGGCACCCTGAGCATTCTTTGGGGGGCGGTCTTGGCCATTCAGTTTTCCCCTTTGGAAAAGTCACTCCTCATATTTGGTTGGTTTTCTGTGAGTGTTCTATCTTTTTTCTTACTGATTTGTAGGAGCACCTCCAGATTCTTCATTAATCACTCTTGTCATTTGGTGACCTGTCACCCTGTCTGGTTTTGTTTTTGTCACCTTACATTTTGTGCTTTCGGGGTCTTTGTTTTTGAGGTTATGTTTTTATATTTTTTCCCATCACAATGATATTCTCCCACAATTTTCTTTATTAGTTCTAGAGTTGTACATTTCACGTTTCGGTCTCTAATTGCCCGTTATTTACAGTGTGAGGCAAGTGTTCACATGGAGCTTTCCTCCTGATGTCACTTACCGTGCAGCCTCCTCTTTTCCCGAGTCCTGTCCCGCCCTCCGGCCGCAGCCACCCCCGGGTGTGGAGCTGTGGCAGGCTCTCTCAGCGGGAAGGAGAGTGCCTTGGTGTTCTGTTTTTCAGAATTAATCTGCCTATTTGTAGACCTGTTTCCCTCCCTTTAATTCTAGAAGAATTCTTTTTCTTTGGTTAGATGCCTCAACAAAAAAAGTTTCTGCTGGCACTGTGATTGTAATCAGAATTCGTTAAGTAGGCTTGGGCTGATTGGCTTTTTATACGCTTAGTCATCGTGAACTTGGTGTACATTTCCCTTTACTCACGGTTGTTCTTGAGCCCTTTGACAGAATGTAAACATTTCTGCCTCTGAGGCCTCCTGCAGGCTTTGCTTGATCAATTCCTGGATAGCTGTAGCTTTTGTTGTTATCGTGTGAAATCTCTTCTTTGACTTTCCATTCTCATCAGTTACAGAGTCTTCTAGTGTGTGGGCATTTTCGTATCGATGATGACGGTTTGTTTTTTTCCTCTTGGCTGATTGCACTGGTGGGGCAGCGGGACTGTGCAGGGAGGGTGAACATCCTGTTTTCTTCCCAGAACGCGTGGCCATTATTGTCATTATCGCTGCTCTCCCGGTGTTGGGGCAGGTTGCAGGATGACTTTGGGAGCGGTTTTTAATGGAGTCTGAGTGCCATCCCTGGCGGTTAGGCGGTGGCTGCGGTTGAGAGGATTTTGAGGTGCTATCCAGGCCCATTTGGAAAAAAAGTGCCAAGATCAGCTGGGCCTTTCTGCTGGGGTTCATGGGGTCCCAGGCACCGGTTCCTCTCCCAGGGCCAACCCCAGGCGTTGCCCTGACCTGGAGAGGCATGGGTGATGGGCGGGCCGCTGAGCCCTCCATGCACAGCCTCATGCCCTGTGTCCTCTCTCCCCAGAACGTGCTGGCCAAAGCCCTCTATGACAACGTGGCCGAGTCCCCCGACGAGCTCTCCTTCCGCAAGGGCGACATCATGACGGTGCTGGAGCGCGACACCCAGGGCCTGGACGGCTGGTGGCTCTGCTCGCTGCACGGGCGCCAAGGCATCGTGCCCGGGAACCGCCTCAAGATCCTGGTGGGCATGCACGACAAGAAGCCCGCCGGGCCCGGCCCCGGCCCCCCGGCCCCTCTGACCCCGCCCCAGCCTGGCCCCCACAACCCGGCCGCCCAGTACACGCCTATGCTGCCCGCCACGTACCCCCCGCAGTCCGACAGTATCTACCTGGTGCCCACCCCCAGCAAGACCCAGCAGGGCCTCTACCAGGCCCCTGGGCCCAGTCCGCAGTTCCAGTCTCCCCCGGCCAAGCAGACGTCCGCATTCTCAAAGCAGATGCCCCACCACCCGTTCCCCAGCCCAGCCCCAGACCTTTACCAGGTGCCTCCAGCGCCTGGCAGCTCCGCCCAGGACATTTACCAGGTGCCGCCTTCTGCTGGGATGGGGCTGGATATCTACCAGGTTCCCCCTTCCATGGACGCACGCAGCTGGGAGGGGACAAAGCCACCGCCAAAGGTAAGGCCGCCCTGGCATGGCTGGGCAGCCCCCCTGGTGGGTTTCTGGGCACAGCAGGGCACAGCTAAACACCCTTGCGTTCTCTGGGGCTCCGGCAGTGGCCGTGCATTTGGTCTGGGGCCAGGTGGGCGGTGATGGTTTGGGAAATGCGGTCATTCTGCTGCTGATGATGGGTGTGGACAGGCGGGGCCAGCCCAGAGAGGAGATAGCTGAGCTGGCCTGGACCATGAGGTGTACGTCAGACAAACGCCAGCGGAGGACGAAGCCTGCCAGAGGCCTGGAGGTGTGGGAAAGTGTCCGTATTCTGGGTTGGCAGTTAAGGCTTGGCTGGTGATGCCGGAGCAGCAGGCTGGGGACAGACTCCCAGGGGCCTGATGCCACCTACGACCCAGATGCTTTCCTGAAGACAGAGGGTTTTGAGTGGACGTGACTCTGCTCAGCCCGTACTCTAGTTAAGTCATTCTGCCCAGAGAGTGGAGGGTACTGGAGCATTGAGGGGCCCAGGCAGGGACAGGGGACCCAGGAAAGGGAAGGAGGGTTGGGAGGTTAGGATGGCACTTGAAGGGGAGAGATCCAGCATGCAGTGCAGCGCAGCAGTTGGGGGAGTGTGGCTGAAACCCCAAAAGAATGGACTGAACAAAAGGAGAGGTGTTTTTCCTCACTTACCTCGGTTTGGAAATGAGCACTGCAGCTCTGTGCCTGTCAGGGGCCGTGGCTCCTTCCGTCTTGTTGCTCTGACATTGTCGACGTAGGGCTTGAGTCTCATGGGCCAGGGAAGTTGCCTTGTGAGCTCTAGCCAGCATGGCTACCTCCTGGCGAGCAGGAAAGGAAGAAGGGGCAAAGGGAGAGGCCAGCTGTCGCCTTGCACCTGGAGGTTCTGGGCGGGGGTGTCAGGCCCTTGGTGTCAGTGAGCACATCTGGCCAGCCCTGCCTCCATAGCTGCCCTTCTCTTTTGGGGCAAGTTAGTGGGCCTGCAGGCACCTACAGGTGACCTGTTTGTAACTGCTGCACAGCGGGGGGAGTATTGCCAATGGGATTGCCAGCGCAGGGTCATCCTGAGAGAGAGAGTCTGGTTCAAGCCTCTTGTGAGCTGTTGCCAGTGGAATGTTGGGCCAGGGGACAAGGCCCACCCCCTCCCCGGTCTGTCTCCTGGAGGGAGGGGAGGCCAAGCCCCACTGGCTGCTTTGGGCTGAGTCAGGAGCAACATTTGCTCACCTTTGGCCTCTGTCTTCTCATGCACACATCCCTTCGAGAATCAGGGAGTGGAGTTTCCTGAGGCCTGGAAACGGACTTGGGGGACAAAGTGGCCACACCCAGCTCTCCTGTCTCCTCCATGGTTGTTCACCCTTGGCAGCTCACCCAGGAGGACCCTGAGAAACTGGGGCCTTTACAGCCTACCCAGCTCCAGCTCCCCAGCTTGTCCCTCCTCAGAGAGGCCACAGCGGGTGGTGTGACTCGGAGGCCCTGGTGGGAGAGGATGGGCAGTGGACACAGCAGCCCGGCTCTGCTGGGCCAGCTCCCCTGGCCCAGGGCTGTCTGTGTTGGCAGAGGCAGCAGCCGAGCAGACACTCACTCCACAGCACTGAGCCTCCGTCCTCAGAGCCAGCCCAGGGGGAGGGGGAGACTTGCCCCCGCCCACAGGATGGAGCTTAGCAGCCAGGACACCTTCCTGGAGCTCATTGGCTGGCTGGCAGAAGGTGTCCAATGACACCGGCTACCAGGGAACCCTGGGTCACTGGCTGCCACTTCCTGGTCCTTCAGCTCTCCGGCCACAGGTGGGCGGGGCTGGGCTGGGGTGGCCTGGAATAGGCAGCTCCCAGGTAGCTTTAGCAGGAAGTAGCAGCAGGAAGCAGTTCCTAGCTGGTGAGCCTTGGGGTAGTTCATCCCACTACACACACACACACACACACACACACACACACTCTCTCTCTCTCTCTCTCTCTCTCTCTCTCTCTCTCTCCACACACACACACACACCCCAGGGAGGCATACCTTTCCCCTTCCCTCGCCTTTGCAGGAGGCCTGCCCTGTGCACCTGTGAGCGGGCAGCAGGAGTAGGCCAGGCAGCAGCAGTGAGGCCAGGTGCTGGTCATTGACTGTGTCCCTCCCCTTGGAGAGACTTGTGCTCAGTCTGCGTCTGGCCTCATGGGGCTGCGGCCCAGTGGCCCTCCCCAAGAAACCTCATTGCTCCTGACCTGGGCAGCCTGATTACATCTGCTTTTATTTTATGATCATGAGAGTGAAGCTTGTTTGTCATAAAAAACGGGAAATGTATGAAAAAGTCTAGACAGGAGATGCCCCAGTCGAGGTAATCACTGGGAGGTTTTGGCATGTTTTGTCTAGACTAAGGTGACCAGACATCCCACTTTTGGCGGGACAGCCCCGATTTTTAACAATTTGTCCCGCGTCCCGCGGCATTTTAAAAAAGTCCCGATTTTTGGAAAGAATCTTTTAAACCTTTTGGACTTTTCAAAAACGCTGTGGGATGCGGGACAAATAGTTAAAAATCAGAACTGTAGCCGAAGCTGGTTTGGCTCAGTGGTGGAGCGTCGGTCTGCGGACTGAAGGGTCCCAGGTTCGATTCTGGTCAAGGGCATGTGCATTGGTTGGGGGCACATCCCCAGAAGGGGGTGTGCAGGAGGCAGCTGACCGATGTTTCTTTCATCGACGTTTCTAGCTCTCTGTCTCTCTCCCTTCCTCTCTGTAAAAAATCAATAAAATATATTTAAAAATAAATAAATAAAAATCAGAATTGTCCCACCAAAAGCGGGACATCTGGTCACCTTAGACTAGATTCTATACATCTCTCACAGATTTGTACACTTATTTTTGCATTTTGAGGTAGTAAATCTCATATCAGATAGGTATCAGAGAATTTTGTTGAGTCCCTAAACATGATGGTGACTACTGCCCTGGATTTGCTCTGTTGCCCCCGTGGGTGGGCTCCAGGCAGTTTCTGATGACACTGTCTCTGACACACAGCCAGGCGTGGACATCTTGGTGCGCGCACACTTGTGCCCACATCGCAGGGTTGTGCTTTCCTAAGCCTCGTCCTCCCCCTCACAAGTCTGGGAAAACGGGCTCCTGGTCCCGGGGAGAGGCTGGCTGGGCCGTGGAGGAACCCTGCCAGGACTTTGGTTGGGGACTGAGTGGCTTGAGAGAGGTCAGGGCCACACCAGGTGTCAGGGCCATTTGGGCAGGGGCGTGGCTGTAGGAGGCGGAGGCAGAAGTAGATAGGGCCCTCAGGGGAGGGGTGTTGTTGTGAGGTCACTCTTGGGCGAGTGCCTCTGGGTCAGGGCCGCAGCTGTGCCCGAGGGAACAGCTGTGGCTCTGGGTCAGGCACGGGGAGACACAGCTGAGCTCAGCTCTGTTCCTTGTGGGAGCTCCATCTCCCCAGGCTCCTGGTTCCGGGCCGTGGGGGTGCCAGAAGCAGGGGTCCCACGCTAGGCTTGTCCTCACTCCCGATGAGAGGTTAGATGGCCATTTGCTCCATCCCACACATTCCAGGATTGCTCCATTTCTCAGAGAAGGAAACCCAGCTTCCAGAGGCAGGTGGAGGGGGGGGTACCAGGCCAGTCAGCCAGGGCCACGTGAGCCAGTGGCCCGTTTGCAGACGGGAGAGACTGGCAGATGAGCTGCCTTGAGGTGGTCAGGGCCCTGGGCAGGTGGACCGTCCCGTCGCACTGGGTCTTGGAAGCCGTTAGTGTCAGGCCTCGCTCCTGCCCTGCAGATGCCCTGCCTGCCCTGCCCTGCCCAGCTGTCTGCCTTTGGGTGTGCATCTGGCAGTGGGTACTCATGTCTGTCTTGCACTGATGAGATGTGCGTGAGAGCACGTGTTCTCGGGTTGGGGTCTGTGTGTTCGCCCAGACTCAGGCTGTCCCTACCCCGGGGGGCCTCGGCCCTGCGGATGGGGCCCAGGTGCAGAGCAGGCGGCCTGCGATGAGGTGGCTCCGCCGCTCTCTGGAGCGCTGGTTTCCCTAATGAGCTTTTCCCCCTGGCGGCTGCCTCACTGTTTTTTTCTACCAGAAAAACGTAAGCTGGCCAATATGGCTGCTTACTGTCACCAGCTCAGCCGCAGGCGTGGCAAGCTGCCCGGGGCTTGGGTCCGGTCCCTGGAGCCGTCCTGCCTGCGCTGCCTGCCTGTGTCATCTGCGAGGCACTGGGGAGGGGGCGAGGCATGCACCCCTCTGCCTTTTGGGGGCCAGCAGGGCCTCGAGACACTCGGGCTTCGCCTCCAGGCCCCGCCAACCTGCCACGTCCCGCCAGCTCCCGCCCGCCGCCCGCCTGTCCTGCCGTTGGCAGGTTCCAGTGTCTAAAAATAGCCCTGGAGGAGGCTCAAGTCTGGGGCTCCAGGAGGGAGATGAATCTGGGGAGGGCTGCCAGCTCCACTTCCAGACACGCAGGGATGGGGGGCGGGGGCCGGGAAACCCCATGGAGGCACGCCCCACAGCTAAGGGAGCCCGCCCGGGCGCCCAGGAGGGAGGCGGGCAAGGGTGTGCGTGAGCAGGAGGCTCTGCCAGGCCCAGGGCCGAGGAGAGGAGTGCTGGTGCCTGCACTTCTGGGGGAGACGCTGCTCTGCTGGCGGCTGCCCACGCGTGAGGGCTGGCACAGCATGGACACAGGAGTCCGGGGCCCTGAGCCTGAGGGCTGGGCCTGCCTCAGCTCACTGCCCCCGGATGGGGCGGGGGGGCCCCCGAGCCAACCTCAGCCCAGACGTCCCCTTTGATTCGGGAACAAAGGGCCTCTCTGTCAGGAGAAGATCAGGGCCAGAGCCTTGGGGAGGCGTGCCCTGAACTGGCCTGGGAGGTCTGCCAGCCTGTCCCTCAGGCCGACCCTCCCACACAGCTGACCCTCCCACGGCCAGGGTGCCTGTGGGAAGAAGGCTGCATGCCCGGCACTGCCTGCCAGGCCCGGCACCAACATGAAGGGCTGTGGGCGGCCTGCGGCTCCGGACCCAGGGCCCAGGGCCGGGCCCCGGGTTGGGGAAGGGGCTGGCCGCCTCTCTGGGCCGATGGTACCTGCTCGGGTGAGTGGTGGTCTCGGGCCATGTGGGTGGGGGGTGGGAGTCTTGGTTCTAGTCTTGGCTACTCTCACGCCATCTGCGTGAGAACTGGCACTGAGGTCTGGGGGTCCCCACTGGGCTTGTCCTCAGGAGTCTCCCCAAGATGTCTGTGGGGGGAACAGAGGGCGGGGGACTGCTTGCTGCTCTGCCAGGCCGCCACCCCCTGTGGGCCCAGCCCAGCACCACACGTCCACTGGTCCCGGATCCGAAAGGCGGCTCCCGGGTCCTGAGTCAGGACAACCCTCGTGGGCAGACTTCCCTAGGAGCGTGCAACTGAGAAGTGTCAGGAGGCAGAGGCACCCACTTGCGGGTGGCCCCTCCCCCCCCAGCCCATAGGCGCCCTCTTCTGAAACCTGGTCACCCAGGTGCAGAGGCCACTTCCTTTTCCCGGTCTCCCGGCACAGACGTCGTTGAAGAAAGGGCAGAAATGCCCTTGCCTCTGAGTGGCCTCTGAGCCCACTCGGTGTGTCTCAGCCACCTCCCAGGGGGTGGAGTCTCCCTGAGGACCCGAGCGTGGACCCCGGAGCCTGGCTTTCGGGGCTGGTGGTGACAGTTGGCCGTCCGCCCTAGGTGGTGGTGCCCACCCGCGTGGGGCAGGGCTACGTGTTCGAGGCCTCGCAGCCAGAGCAGGACGAGTACGACATCCCGCGCCACCTGCTGGGCCCGGCGCCCCAGGACATCTACGACGTGCCCCCGGTGCGAGGGCTCCCCGGCCAGTACAGCCAGGAGGTAGGTGCCCGCCTGCCTGGGGGGGGGGACTCGGCTGGCCCTGCTGAGGGAGGAGGGCGCTCCCTGCCCCTCAGGAGGCCCTGGCACCCACATCACTGCACCTTTTCTGCCCCAGGTGTATGACACCCCTCCCATGGCTGTCAAGGGTCCCAGTGGCTGGGACCCGTCGCTGGACGTGTACGACGTGCCCCCCAGCGTGGAGAAGAGCCTGCCGCCGTCCAGCCACCACGCGGTGAGCAGTCGGGGTGCTGGGGCCTCACGGCTGGTGCTGCCTGGGCTCGGGTCTGGGTGTGACTGAGTGTGCGCTGGGGTGGGGGCTCCAGACCCCAGCTTTGCCCTCACTCGCTCCGTATGGGCTCCTGAGCCTCAGCGTCTGTGGCTGTAAAAGGGCCACATGGAGGGCCTTCATGGCGTGTGAGAGGAACACACGGGGTATCAGCAAGCTGACCACAGAGCCTGTCATCCAAACCCAGCCCTTCTGAGAGCAGAGGGGGTCCAATAGTAATGAGGGGGCATCGGGCACAAGCCAAGGTGGTGTCACCTTGACTGTAACACAGATAGCCCAGCCAACCACTTGCCAGAGTAGGGAATACACAAGTGGTGGTGGTAATGGTGGTGGTGGTTGTGGTAGTGTGGTGGTGATGGTGATGGTGATTGCAGTGGTGGTGTGGTAGTGGCGGTGATGGTGATGGTGATAGTGGTGGTATGGCGGAGGTGGTAATGAATGGTGATGGTGATGGGATGGTGGTAGTGGTGGCAGTGATGGTGGTAGTGATGGCGGTGGTGGTAGTGAATGATGATGGTGATGGTGATAGTGAAGGTGATGGTGGTGGTGATGGCAGTGGTGGTGATGGCGGTGGTGATGGGATGGTAGTAGTAATGGTGGCGGTGGTGATGGTGATTGTGGTGATGGTGGTAGTGGATGGTGATGGTGGTGATGGTGGTGATAGGATGGTGGTAGTGGTGGCAGTGGTGGAGATTGTGGTGGTGATGGCAGTGGTGGTGGTGATGGTGGTAGTGGATGGTGATGGTGATGGTGATGGTGATGATGGTGGTGATGGGATGGTGGTAGTGGTGGAGATTGTGGTGGTGATGGCGGTGGTGGTGGTGATTGTGATAGTGAAGGTGATGGTGGTGGTGGTGGTGATGGTGGTGGTGGTAGTGAAGATGATGGTAGTGGTGATGATGATGGTGGCAGTGGTGGTGATGGTGGTGATGGCAGTGGTGATAGGTGTGATAACTGATATTCCACGGAGTGTTTGGAGTTACACAGTGAATTGACTTACGTAACCCTCACAACCATTTTCGAGGAGAGCAGTCACCCGCCTTAGGTCACACAGTGGAGCCAGGATGTTGAGCTCAGGTCTGGCCCCGGAGTTGGGCTCTCAGCCACACCCGTGTGGATAGATGGCGGTGACTGTGCCGGGCTGTGGCTGGGTCCTGTCCCTCGGCTGCAGGTGAGCAGACGGCGGCCAGCCTTGACCGCCCTTTGGCCCCTCAGGTGTACGATGTTCCCCCGTCCGTGAGCAAGGACGTCCCTGACGGCCCCCTACTGCGTGAGGAAACCTACGACGTGCCCCCCGCCTTCGCCAAGGCCAAGCCCTTCGACCCGACCCGCCACCCGCTGGTCCTCGCTGCGCACCCCCCGGACGCGCCGCCCGCCGAGGACGTGTACGACGTGCCGCCCCCCGCTCCCGACATCTACGACGTGCCCCCCGGCCTGCGGCGGCCCGGCCCCGGCGCCCTCTACGGCGTGCCCCGGGAGCGGGCCCCCCCTCCCGAGGCGGCCGACGGAGGCGTGGCCGACGAGGGCGTGTACGTGGTGCCCCCCGCCGCCGAGCGGGAGGCCCCGGCAGACGCCAAGCGCCTGTCGGCCTCCAGCACGGGCAGCACTCGCAGCAGCCAGTCGGCCTCCTCCCTGGAGGCCCCGGGGCCCGGCCGCGAGCCGCTGGAGCTGGAGGTGGCCGTGGAGGCCCTGACCCGGCTGCAGCAGGGCGTGAGCGCCACCGTCACCCACCTCCTGGACGTGGCGGGCAGCGCCGGCCGGTGTGGGGGCCGGCGCGGCGCCGCGGAGCCTCCGGAGCCCCCGGCGCAGGACCTGCGGGCCGCCCTGGCCGCCGTCCAGGGCGCCGTCCACGAGCTGCTGGAGTTTGCCCGCAGCGCCGTGGGCAACTCCGCCCACACGTCCGACCGCACGCTGAACGCCAAGCTGAGCCGGCAGCTGCAGAAGATGGAGGACGTGTACCAGACGTTGGTGGCCCACGGTCAGACCTTTGACAGCAGCCGAGGCGGCCCCGGGGCCACCTCGGAGGACCTGGACCGCCTGGTGGCCTGCTCACGGGCTGTGCCCGAGGACGCCAAGCAGCTGGCTTCCTTCCTGCACGGCAACGCCTCGCTGCTCTTCAGACGGACCAAGGCGCCCGCCTCAGGGCCCGAGGGGGGCGGCTCCCTGCACCCCAACCCCGCCGACAAGGCCAGCAGCATCCAGTCCCGGCCCCTGCCCTCGCCCCCCAAGTTCACCTCCCAGGACTCGCCGGATGGGCAGTATGAGAACAGCGAGGGCGGCTGGATGGAAGACTACGACTATGTCCACCTGCAGGTGGGTGCCCGCCACGCCCTGGCTCCCTGTGCGCTCTGAGCTCTGATCTCTCCACCCCTGTCGTGGGACCCTCATCACCCCACTGAGGGCCCGTGTGGCCAAAGGAGGATTTGGCCGAGGAGGGCCTCGGTGGGTCCCTGGTCCTCCTCTCACTGCGAGCTTCCAGGCCAGAGGGCCCCCAGAGCCCATTCCTCTCCCCACCCCCAGCCTTTGGGCCAGCGCATCCTGGTCATCACGTCCGCAGCTGAGCAGGGCAGAGGTGGCTGTGCTGTTTGGGGAGATGGGTCCTGAAATATAAGCCAAGACAGAGATGCTTCCAGGCAAGGAGGAGCAAGCAAGGTGATGGGAAGGCCGTTCTCTGAGCAGAGACCCGGGTGCCGGCCAGGTGGTCTCAGCGTTCCAGGCCGAGATCTGAGTGGGGGTCAGGGCCCAGGGGTCAGGGACAGGTGGGCAGGCTCTGTATGCCTAGAGTAGGGGTGTCGAACTCAATCAGAGAAGGGGCCAAAATCTAAAATCCAGCCTAAATCGCGGGCCGAATGGTTTACTGAACAGTCATAAACTGTCATTGTGATGGAAACGCAGCGGAGTGCAGTGATGACAGCGCGGTGCGGGCCACATTGCAAGGCCTGGCGGGACGGATTTGGCCCGCGGGCCTTGTGTTTGACACATGTGGCCTAGAGCATGGATGTGACCTCTGGCACTGGAACGAGGGCAGGGAGGCTGGCCTTGGCCACATGGAGTATGCCCTCCCCTTCCCGTGCTGGGAAGATGGAGGCGGCCCCGGAGGGCTGCTTCCTCTGGAAGCGGACCCCTCCTTGGGCCTGGTGGCCTCCTTGCGAGCCTGATGCAGTGTGCAGCGCCACCTGGTGGCCACTCTTCTCACTGCGCCCCTTCCTGGTCTGTGAGGTCCTGGCTCAGCCGGTCCTTGTCTCCCCTCCAGGGGAAGGAAGAGTTTGAGAAGACTCAGAAGGAGCTGCTGGAAAAGGGCAACATCATGCGGCAGGGGAAGGGCCAGCTGGAGCTGCAGCAGGTGAGGAAGCGGGACACCCGCTGCATCAGCAAAAGCTTTTTGCCTGCCGGAAGCCAGCCTGGGAGCTGAGCCCCGGGCCCTCCCAGCAGCCCCCCTCCACTGCGCCTGCCCCATGCGTTTGCTGGGTTCGCACTAGCAGAGTCATGGTGGCGGATATGTTAGAGTGACCACACAGAAACGTGTGAGAAAGCAGGAAGGAGAAACCGGTTACAGAGGAGTGTGTACGTGGCACTTCGTGAACAGTTACATCTGCTTTTATCTCACGAGGTTTTCTATGACATTAAACCGTCCTCAGGTTATTTTTAAAAATATATATTTTATTGATTTTTTTACAGAGATGAAGAGAGAGGGATAGAGAGTTAGAAACATCAATGAGAGAGAATCATCGATCAGCTGCCTCTTGCACCCCCCCCACTGGGGGTGTGCCCACAACCAAGGTACATGCTCTTGACCGGAATCGAACCTGGGATCTTTCAGTCCGAAGGCCGACACTCTGTCCACTGAGCCAAAGCGGTTCTGGCCTCCCATTATTTTTAAAGGTCATAGAGCATTATTGTTGAGCATTTATATTGTACCCAGTTTTCTTTATAAATAATTTATCTGCAAATGTAGAATCTCTTTCATATTTTGGACCACTTGAAACAGTTTATAAAAATTAAGGGAGTTTTATTCTGATTATGAAGATAATAAAAATTAAAACACAGACTAGCACAAAATAAACACAGAAATATCACCCGTAAGGTTCTCTGCTTGGTGTGCATTAAGTCTTTTTATGTTGTGTAAAAAAGAATGGTGTGTTTTTTTTTTACTTTCATTTTGGAATATTTATAAATTCACAGGCAGTTACAGAGAGAGTACCCATCACTTAGTTTCTTCACGATTATGTTCTGATTAGAGAGCAGCACCCAGACAAGAGTGCTGTCCCTCGTCCTCACCGCCACTCCGTTCTCCATGTCTCTCCTTGTGCCATTTTATTTTATCTTTTTATTTTTTATTTTTTAAAAATATATTTTATTGATTTTTTTACAGAGAGGAAGGGAGAGAGAGAGAGAGCCAGAAACGTCGATGAGAGAGAAACATCGACTAGCTGCCTCTTGCACACCCCCCACTGGGGATGCACCCGCAACCAAGGTACATGCCCCTGACCGGAATCGAACCTGGGACCTTTCAGTCCGCGGACCGACGCTCTACCACTGAGCCAAACAGGTTTTGGCTCCCTGTGCCATTTCTAAAGACGTCAGGGAAAATGGAGTCATAAATGAGGTGGTGAAAGGTATTTGGAGACTCTGCCAGTAGGATCGGAGGCCTGTGCCCGCTGCTGCTGAGCCCAAGTGCCACCGTGGTGCGGCCCGTCTCACTCTGCCTTCCCTCTCCGCAGCTGAAGCAGTTTGAGCGGCTGGAGCAGGAGGTGTCGCGGCCCATCGACCACGACCTGGCCAACTGGACGGCGGCCCAGGCCCAGGCCCTGGCCCCGGGGCGGGCGGGCAGCCTGGGGCCCTCGGACCGGCAGCTGCTGCTCTTCTACCTGGAGCAGTGCGAGGCCAACCTGACCACGCTCACCAACGCCGTGGACGCCTTCTTCTCCGCCGTGGCCACCAACCAGCCGCCCAAGATCTTCGTGGCGCACAGCAAGTTCGTCATCCTCAGCGCCCACAAGCTGGTGTTCATCGGGGACACGCTGTCACGGCAGGCCAAGGCGGCCGCCGTCCGCAGCCAGGTGACCCACCACAGCAACCTGCTGTGCGACCTCCTGCGCGGCATCGTGGCCACCACCAAAGCCGCCGCGCTGCAGTACCCGTCGCCCGCCGCCGCCCAGGACATGGTGGACAGGGTCAAGGAGCTGGGCCACAGCACCCAGCAGTTCCGCCGGGTCCTGGGCCAGCTGGCCGCTGCCTGAGGACACGGACCCGAGGGAGGAGGGCAGCGACGGTGGGCGCCGCCCCGGGTGCCGCCCCGAGAGTCCCGGCGCTGCAGGCCTGGGCACAGGCGTCCCCAGCTCCCCCAGGCCCGGCGCCAAGCCCGTCAGGGACTGTACATATTTATGACAGGGCAGGTGCGGGCCCAGGAGCCCGGGCAGAGCCAGGCCCCCAGAGCCCGGGCCAGGGAGCAGGCTGGGGTCCTCTCTGAGGGCTCTGCAGGCCCGGGGAGGTCCCGGCCCCGGGCAGCCAGGCCACAGCTGCAGGCCCCGTGGCCCGCACGGCCGTGGGGACCCCTGGGGGCTGACGTCAGCCCCGCGAGGGTGCTACGTCCCCCCCAGGGGTCAGTGCCACTGAGATGTGCTCCTCAGCACCAAGAGAAACCCCTAAAGAACTATTTTTTATTATTGATTTTCCAATCATTTGACTAACAGTCTACATTTAAATAAAATTTTAAAAGCGACAAGCAGCCTCGTGAGGCGTGCGGGGCAGGAGGCCCCCTGGTGGGAAGGTGGGGTGCTCCCTGGATGCCCAGGGTCGGAGTGGTGGGTGAGGGGACCTGTGGTGAGACTGTGGGCGTCCTGGGAGGGGGCGGGGGGGAAGGGTGCCAGCAGGAGAACGCCACGGCCACGGGCAACGGGGCTGGGCCATGGAGAAAAGGCAGGGTCCCCCGCAGGGTGGGCCAGGTTTGCTAACAGATGCAAGACTTGGGGAGTTGGGGTGCGTCCAGCCTGAAGTCTGGGCTGGGAGGCAGATGTCCAGTCTGGTTCGTAGGTTCTGAGAATTGGGCCTGCTCTGCCTAGGCCACGTCTCTCCTGGCTGTTTGTTTGTTTGTTTGTTTTTAAGTATGTTTTTACTAATTTCCGAGAGGAAGGGAGAGGGAGGGAGAGAAAATCGGTGATGAGAGAGAATCATCGACTCGCTGCCTCCTGCACACCCCCTATCGGACGTGGAGTCTGCAACCCGGTGCCGGCACCGGCTGGTTCTCTGATGGGACAGAAGCAGCCGGGAAAGGGCAGCAGTCCCCTCATTAACCCCTGAGTGTGGTGGGTCCCCTCCAGAGGCGCTCGTAGGCCTGGGAGAGACCGCCAGGGGGCAGCTCCGGGGGGGGAGGGGGTCCCGGAGCCACAAATGTGGGGCCAGCAGCAGGCCATCCTCCGGATGCCACACACACACACACACACACACACACACACCCCGCCCAGCGCCAGGCCAGGCCGTGCACTGAGCAGGGGGCGGGTGGTGAGCGTCCCGCAGCCCAGGGGCCGAGGTCCCATTCATCTGCCTGTGCTCTTCCTGCCACTCTCTGGGGAGGTGGCGAAGGGCCCTCCCTGGACCCGCTGCACCAGGGGGAGTGAAGGCCCGAGTTCAGGAGCAGAGAGGCCTGCGGGCCCTGACACAAGAGACAGACGCCATCGGTGTGTTTCCACGGGTTTATTGAGCTGTGGGGGAGCAGGGCTGGCGGGGAGGCCAGGGCGGGGCCGGGGCCTCAGTTCTCGGCCAGGATCTGCCGCACCCAGGGCATGAGCTCGGTGACCCGGGCGTACACGCCGGGGCTGGAGGTGGAGCAGGTGCCGCTGCCCCAGGACACGATGCCCACCAGGGTCCAGGATCCGTCCTTCTGGCAGACCAGGGGGCCGCCGGAGTCACCCTGCAGGAGGAGGAGAGGGCTGGGGTCTGGCTGCCCAGGCGGCCTGGCCCAGAGGCCCCTGGATGGGGCCCAGAGCCCAGTCCAGGCCTGGCAGCCCGGGACCCAGCAGCCGCCGCCCGAAAGGATTGTGAGAACCCGGGCAGCTCCTCCAGCCCATGCCCTAGAAGTCGGGGCCACCCCAGAGGGAGGTTCTGTGATGGAGGCTCACAGCGCTGGTTTGATTGGCAAGAGGAAAGCTGGGGCCACAGTGAGAAGGGGCTGCTCTGGAGCCCGGGGCCCCGTTCCCGCCCAGGCGGTGCCCTGCAGAGCTCCAGGCGGTGCCGTTTGCTCGACCTCCATGGGATCTCGCACTGTGCTGGCTCCAAGCCCCATCCAGGTCAGTGGTGCCCCCCCGGGAGGTCCTTCCGGGCCTCAGCTAGGAGCACCCAGAAAGAAGCCTGCCTGCTCTTCACCGCCCTCTGCCCTCGCCCCTGCCTGGGCTCTGGCCTGAGCCCGTCCCGGCCACAGGCAGGCAGGCGGGAGGCTCTGAAGAGCAAGCGAGGAGGGGATTCCTGCCGCAAGGAGGGATGGGAGGGGTGCAGAGCGGGCCGGGCGCCGTACCATGCAGGAGGAGACGCCGCTGGCGCCGGCGCAGACCATGAGGTTGGTGATCTTGTTGCCCCAGAACTTCTTGCACTCGGCGTTGGACAGGAGGGGCAGGGCGGCCTGCTGCAGCTTGTCGGGGGTCTTGGCGTCTGGAAGGGCCCGTTGGGCGTCAGCACCCGCAGCCCCAGTTGCCCGCTGCCCGCCCGGCCGCCCGCCCGCCCGCGGTCACTCACTGTTGTACTTGGTCAGGCCCCAGCCGGTGGTGGCGCACAGGCTGCCGGCGGGAAATTCATCGGCCTCGTCGGGCAGGCACACGGCGGACACGGTCTGGGAGAAGCGGGCGGGCGTGGCCAGCTTCAGCAGCGTGATGTCGTTGTTGACCGTGAACATGTTGAACTTGGGGTTCTTGAACACCTAGGGGCGGGCGGGCGGGCGGGCGGGCGGACACGGTTGGGGTCCGGGAAGGAGCGCAGGGCAGGGCCACCCCCATGCCTGCCTCCCCTCCGGCCTCGGGGCTCTCAGCTCGGCAGCGCCTCCCCGGGGCCCAGGCCGGAGGTGCCCACCCCCTGCACGGAGCACCCCTGCTTTCTGCTTTGCCCATCTGCATGGGGGACTGGGGACGGGGTTCTCAGGATGGTGGCCCAGCCCGTCAGCCTGCCTGCCGGCGCGGGCCGCATACCTTGGCGATCTTCAACACCTGGATGTCCTCGGCGTCTGAGCCCTGGTCAAACTCCCCGGCCACAACCACGTGGGAGGTTCTGAGGAGAGAGGAGGGCATTCCTGCTGAGGTGGTGAGGGTGAGGGCATGTGTGTGTGCAGGCACATGGGGGGTGTGTGTGTAGTGAGTGCATGTGTGTGCAGGTATATGAATGGGTGTGTGTGTGTGTGTGTGTGTGTGCGCGCGCGCGCGTGCTTGCACACACTGATCAGACGGGAGCTCAGAATGTCAACAGCTGCCCCAGGACGTGCCACAGCCTGAGTGTTTCCTTCCAGTGACTCCTGGGAGGCCAACAAGACCTGAGTTTTCTACACATTTCCAGTTGGGGAAGGAAGGAATGGAGTTCAGAAGGCCCTCCTCCCACCCCAGTGGATTCCTGGGGACCCCAGGCCCTCACCTGACCCCGCAGTGGGCGGCGGTCACCACCCAGTCCTCGCTGATGAGGGAGCCCCCGCAGAAGTGGAAGCCGGTTTTGTCCTGGAGGACGGAGGGGAGAGATCAGCGCCGGCTGGACCCCGGCGGCCGCAGGGGCCCCCCAACCCCGCGGGCCCCTCGCTCACCTGCAGGGACACCTGCCAGGGCCAGGAGCCGGGGACGGCGTCCTCCCCATTGACGATCCTGGACAGGCCGCTCAGCACAGGGTGGATGGCGGGGACCCCGCAGCCTGAGGGGAGTGCGAGGTGAGGGCCCGCCTCTGGGCCCCCCACCCAGGTCCCACTGCCCCGTGAATCCGCAGGGAGAACTCGGTGTGCCCCGGGCTTCGGCCCAGACCAGCCCGGCAGGCTGAGGGTGAGGTGGTGCAGGGCTGGGATTGGAACCCAGCCCCATCATCGCCTCGCTTAGCCGCTGAGCCTCAGTTTTCCCGTCAACAAAATGGGACCGTACAGTTGCTAACCTCGCCGAGCTGGCGTAAGGATACAAGATGAGTTAACAGGTAAAGCTCGGGGTTGTTCTGGGCACATAGCCCTCGGCACACAGGAGTTTAGAAGGGCTGGTGGGCCCGTCTACCTGCTCACTATCTGAATCAGTTTGGGAATCACCAGCTCTTCAGAGAGCTTCCTGTCCCCTCGGGATTGTCTCCCCTGTCCCCTGCCCAGGTGTGAGGCCCGGGGCAGCCCTCGGAGCAGCGGTCGCCTCCCCGGCCCTCACACGGCTGGTCTGATCCAGTCTTCCCAGCGTCTGCATTACAGACATGGGGCTGCTGGGCCTCACGCCACCTGCAGGACTGGACTGGGAGGGGGCCCGGGGTTGGGGGGACGGCCCCCCGGCTGCTGCCGCCCCGGCGCTCACCGAAGGCTGAGCCCAGGAGGGCGAAGCAGGAGAGGAGCCAGAGGGAGGCCATGGTGTCAGTCGGGGAGGTGCAGGGCTCTGGCCTGGGAGGCGCCCGTTTTATCCCCGCGCCCCGGGCTGTTATCTGGGGGCCTTGGGGTGACCGTCATTTTCCTGGGCGTGTGCCAGCGTGGACAGGATGTGCCCAAGCGGGCCCGCCTGGGACAGCAGCAGCTGCGGCCACGTGTGTGTGCTCAGGGCCGGGGTCAAGGCAAAGTGGGGGCCGGGGTAGGCGGACCCTGACTCGCAGCCAAGGGGAAATGAGGTGTCACGGCTGGTCTTCGCCCCGAGGCCTGCCTCAGGAGGGGCCCTGTGGCAGCAGTCAGGCCGGGGGGTGGGGTGGGGCCCGCAGCCTCGTCTCTCTCCGTCTAAGGGCCCCGGACCAGTAATGTAGTTGGTCTATAAGTTCTTCAAAAGCCCCGTGCGGTGTGATTGAAGAGGACCGTGGTCGGCAAACCTGGGGCTCTTTGGCCCCTTGAGTGTGGCTCGTCCACAAAATACCACGGCCTGGGCGAGTCTGTTTTTGAAGAAGTGGCGTTAGAAGAAGTCTAAGTTTAAAAAATTCGGCTCTCCAAAAAAAACGTCAGTCGTCGTCCTGTTGATAGTTGGCTCTGTGGACTGATGAGTAGGGAAAGTGCAGCTCGGAGGTGCGGTGGGGGCCAGGTGGCCGGCAGCTGAGTGGGCCCTGCGTTTCGGGGACGGATGTCCCGGAGGCTCAGGGAGGCCCTGCTTCCACATCGGCGTGTCCCTCGCCCACTGCCGGCCACACGGACCTGGGCCCAGGGCCCACTCGGGGGCCCCTGCTGTCGCCCCCACAGAAGCAGGCTGGACCAGGCGGGACCCTGTGAGCCCGGAGGCCTGCTTCTGGCTCGGACAACAGGGTGGGCGGTGGGGCCCTTTCCCGGCAATCGGCAACCCGGGGGGGGGAAAAGACGTGGAGGGGGGGGCTGCCCCCCAAAACGCACAGGGAAGATAACCCGTCGTGGCTGTTCTCGGTTCCTATTGCATCGTAGTGTAGGGGGTTCGCAGGCAGGTATCGGCACCAGAGCCGCTCGGACCCTGTTTCTGTAAATGCAAAACGGGGTGCTCATAGTACGGGTCCCGGCAGCGGCCAGGCAGAGGGCACACGAGGGCAGAGCCTGGGGGTCAGGAGGCCGGGCTGGGTGACCAAGGGGT